CTTTCACAACCGTTTCTGTTTTAAATTTGGTGCTAGCCTACTGCAGTGTTAGAATGTTTTTTTCTTCATCCTGATTGGTTGGGAGTCTTGATCTGTGTTTATTGGTCTTGGAGTTTGCTGTGTTCTGCTTGATTGGTGTTTCTAATATCTTCTGTCTGTTTTGTAGCATTTTTTTTTTGTCTTGATTGGCTTGCAACATTGTGTTTCCTGTATTGGAGGCTTTTAGTGCAGCTTGGCTTCGAGTAAACAGACGGCTACTTTTAATTGCAATTTATGCTCCCAATAATCAGCAAGACCAATTTTATAAGAAGTTACACAATAAAATAATTGAACTGGAATATGATAAGATATGCATCTTTGGAGACTTTAATACAATTGTAAATATAGAACTGGACTATAAAACACAGAAAACAAACAAAAAAAATAGAAAAATATTACCCAAATCTTTTTTTAAGATGGTGGAGGAGCTGAGTATTAAAGATATATGGACAGAATTGAATAGCAAAAATAGACAATTTACATTTTACTCAAATAGACATCATGGTCAAGAATAGACATGATTTGGATGTCAACAGATTTAATACCTAATATTCAGGAAGTAAATATTGATACAAACATATGGGCTGATCACAACCCAATGAGGATTAAATGGAAGGGACAGAAGAAAAGACTAAGATGGACTTTGAATAATTCAATTTTGAAAGAAAAAGAATTTATTAATAACCTGGAAAAAGAATTGGTTTTCTTCTTTAAAGAAAATAAATCAGGAGAAACCTCATTGCAAAATGTATGGGACACTATGAAAGTGTATACCAGAGGCGTGATTATAACCTATACAAGAAGAAGGAACATTAAAAAGAGACACAACAAATTCTAGAACAAGAACATAAGAAATTGGAGAAGGATTTACAAAGATATCCACAGTACAAAAATATCAAAAACCAAATGGGTATAATTAAACACAAAATTGGACTAATGGAAAAAGAAGAACTGGCGTAAAAGATTAGAGGGGCTAAACAGAATTATTTTGAAAATGCAAATAAACTAGGTAGATGGCTAGCATATAAACTGAAGAAAGAAAAAGAATAAAAAAGAATACCACAATTAATAGGCACGTTATGTTATAAAAATGAAGAGAGAAAAAAATAGTACAGAGATATTATGAGAAACTATATGATCAAGAGCAGAATTACCGAGAATACCTGATGAAATAAAGACCATGTTAGATGAGAAAATAACAATGATGGGACTGACAGAAGCAATAAATAGACAAAATACTGGGAAAGCTACCAGCCCAGATGGGCTACCAGCTGAATTCTATAAGACAATACAGAAAGTAATCTCTACTACAATGTTGGAAGTATTGAATGAGGTTCTAACAAAAAATAAAGTACCAGATTCATGGATAGAGGCATATGTTACACTTATACCAAAAGA